AGACTGGAATTACGGACAATCTTTTTCACCGTGAGGCCAGTCAGTCATGAAGCAGATTGCCCAGAGAGGTTGTGCAGTCATCCATGGAGAGTTTTCCAGGCTCCAGTCCTGAGCAACCTATCTGACCTCAAGACTGGCCTGTGCTGGGATAGAGGGTGGCCTTCCTAAGGTCCATTCCACCCTCAATCATTCTCCATTTTTTTGTAACTTGAATTTTTCTCCATTTCTAAATACTGACATCAAGCCTGGTATCGTTCTAAAGAACTGATCTTAGTTTAAACACAGCCCACAGGGCTGCAGGATTCTGCAGCTGAAGGTTTATGAAAAGTCTTATTCAATTCCAACTAGATGAGCATTCAGACATTTGGATATTAAGTCTGTATGCGTACTAACTAACTTTTCTCTCAATAGGACTCCTTACAGTTATGTGCAAGAGTAAATTTTTAGAGGATTGCACCTTGAGTGAGAAAAATAGAAATTAAAAAAAAATCTAGAGAAAAGGAATGGCCCTCCTTGGCCAAACTGGTGGCAGCACTTACAGTCATATAAAACTGAGGACAGCTCATGTATACAGTATGTAGTGAAGGGGACATATACTGAGCCATCAAAGTTGCTTGTACGACTGCATAAAACTATTTTACTTTGACCATACCTTATTCTTCTGATGGATCTTGAACAGAAGCAAATATAGTAAATAGAAGTTCCCAGCGCTGAAGAGGAGGTTGATAAACCTGAGCATTCCCACAGAGCACACCACGCTCCCGGTCCATCCGAGGAGCCACGCCGCGGGCTTCACTACTCCCACCGAGACCAGGTACAGGCCGGGCAGCGTGGTGATCATGGGGTCCCACTGTACGGCCGAGAGAGAGAGAGACAGAGAAGGTTACGGAGCAGCTCCCACAAAAGGGGCCAGAGACGCGCGATGGTTCGGGCACACCACCCGCGCCACGGCCCCCTCTGTCAGCCCGGCTGTTCAGCGGACTTCTGGCATTATTACACTGAAGGTTTTGAACGCTGTGTGCCCTGGCGCTGCTGCCCCACCAAGGGACAAAACGAGTGTTCGGGCAACAAGGACGGCAGGTGAGTCCCTGCGTTCAGACATCCCCGACCCCGAGCGACAGCTACGCTGCTGCGGCAGGAACGCTGTGAGGATCCTGACCTGCAGGAAGCGGCCGTGGCAATAGGCCTGCGCCTGCGGGACGTGGAACACCTCGTCCATGTAGGGCCCGCGCTGGAGGCGGCTGATGGCCGCGAAGAGCAGGCAGGACAGCAGGAAAACGCCGCTCATGGCCCCGGAGAAGCCGTAGGCCTCGGAGCGCTCCATGCTCCCGCCGCGCCGGCCGGGAAAGGCCGCCCTTCCGGGGAGGGACGGCGGGAGGAGCCGGCGCGTCCCTTCCGCGGCAGCTGCCGGGCGGGAAGGGGTGCGGGGGTGCGGCCGCCTCTGGCCCGCGCGCGTGGGGGTTCTCTGTGGGAAGAGCTGAAACCCCCCGGTCGGAATGCCTGGGTGTTGGTAGAGCCGTGTTTTCGGCGGGACAAGCGGGCGCCTCTCCGTGTCCCCAGGATGGAGCGGACGCACCAGCTGGAGCTGTTCCCTAACTACACGGTCACGCTGCTTCTCTTCCGACACGTGAAAAACGCCGCTGCTCTACGGAAAAAAGCCATGGAAGGATCCATCGAAGGAGCGCTGATAAACCCTGCGATGGTGAGTGAGCCTTTGTGCCGTCCTGTTTGCGTGGAAATCCTCGTGGGAGCTCAGGGAAAAATGACCTGTGCTTGTAGTCGCTGTGACACGACTTTATTTGCGTTACATTTCCTCCGCACTCTGCTCAAACACCCTTCTTTGATCTCATTATTGTGTCCTACAGCGTAAGGGTTCGTCTGTGTAAAACAAAGAGCCATGGCAGGATTGGCCAGAACAATTAATTTCACATCCTACTAAATCAATGGCCTTGATTAATTTCACATCCTACTTGGTGGAGCTGTTTAAATCTACTTCATGTGTAAAATGTAATGGTACTTGCTTCATGCTGTCAGATATGTACTATTTGGGCCCTTTTTTCTCATTTAAACTAGTTTCAGAATCTAGTCTTTCTTTTGTTAGAATTAGTAAAGCAGTAGTTAGGGAAGGGGGGAAAAGTAACTGGCAATTTATTGACAGAAGATTCATTAACGTGGTTCTTTTTTCAGAAGATTTCAGTAACCTGATTGAGAGAGGGTAATCTTTATTTTTATGACAAGTATTACCTCATGCAGGAAATAAACACATTGACTTCGGAAGAGCAAGAATTACTAAAATAACGAGGAGGATACTGTTTTGTTCACTTCTATGATTGCAGACTTAGGCAATCAAAATTAGGTGGTCAGGAGTTTTTTCAGATTTTCATAAACAGTATGTTAAATTTCTGTGTAATGGTTTCTGTCATATTTTACAGATTGTAGATCCTTTTCAAGTTCTCGTGGCAGCCAACAAAGCAGTACATCTACAACAGATAGATAAAATGAAGACCAGAACTCTCTATGCAGAAATTATTTTCAACCTTTCACCAAACAACAATGTAAGATTTACTGAATACATTTCTTTTTTTTGCCAGAGCTTACTAAGATCCACACAGCCAAACTAAAATTCAGAGTTTAACTGAATAGATAATAACAGTAATAGAAGTTACTGTTATTTTTAATAACACTAATACGCTGTTATTGTTTGTAGCTTGTCAGAATTGCATTAATGTAAAACATTTGTCAAGTTATACTCTTGGTGTGTTTGACCCAGTAACTAAAAGGATTGCTTATACGTAGCAAGAAAGTGACTCATAATATTTTTATGTTTTTTATCTTTTCTCAGATTTCAGATGCATTTAAAAAGTTTGGCATTTCAGACAGTGACACAGCAGTACTCATTGTTCTGCTGGATAGCTACAAAACTGTAAATCTGGAAGATATAGCATCACAAGTGGAAGGCCAACAGGTTTCTCTAGATGAACTCCCCCAGCTAACAGACACTGCCAGAGTTAAAAAGGTATGTAGCCAAAAGAGAAGAGAAAAGGGATAGTTTATTTAATTGTCTGATTAAATATCAGTGGACATAATTAACTTAGGATGTGTATTTCTTTAACTTAGGATCTGTATTTCTTTAGTTTCCAGTGAACCTTGATTAGTTATTTCTTAAATTTTTTTTTTTTGAAACAAGTTCTAGTTGTCACACTTCAACATCACAAAGTTTAAGTCTTCAAATTATTAACATTGTCACAAAAATCAATTCCAGATTGCTGCCTACCAGTCAGGCACTTTTGCTTCTTGTTTTCTCAGTCAAATATCTGTTTAATTAAAAATTTCAGTCCTGAACAGTTTCATAGTCTTAGGCACATAAATAGCCCCAGTATGGGTGGCTAAAATAAAAACGTGCTGATTAGCTGTTAGGAGCTGTCTTAGGGCATATGTGCTCTTAACAGATTAGATAGGTATCTTGGAGCATGTGTGTTCTACATGATAAAATTCAAGTAACTTAAATCATCTTGATCGTGTCCATCAAAGTAATGATAGGAGACACATGAATAAAATTGGACAAATCATAGCATTTAACATGTGGAGCCAAAAGTGCTGCTCTCATTCAGTTTCTTGATTTCCTTAGTCTTGCAGTTTCAGAATTTGCTTGGTTCCTCAGTCCTGATTTTGTCTTGCAGTCACAAGAAGATAGGAATTTCCAATGTAAGAATGGCGGAGAGGGGAAAATTTTTTCATGTATGTATATATTTTTAGAAGCTATGTGATAATTTTTTCCTTCCTTATACAGCTTTTCTGTTTTTCTTGTTCTTTTTTTTTCTGCAGATATACAAAGTTACTCCACAAGAAGAAAAAATCAGCACCTTATTGGATAGTGTTGTTTGCAGAATGTCAACGAAAGATGTCTTATGAAAATGTGGAAATACATTTTTTAAAAGGAAAAAGGACTTTTTAAGGTGTAAAAACACTTCATTGCAGTTCATCTTGCATTTCAGAGAAAGTGGAATAGTACTGAGTAGTTTGATGACATCTGATCTTTAACCAAGCTTGGATACCAAGCTTAGTAATCTTATCTGTGTTCTAAGCACAGAGAGCAATTCTGCCATGCAGAGCAGAATTTGCCTTTGGTATTTCTGTCCTTTTTCTTGGCAAGGGAAAATTGCCAGTGCTCTAAGCTGAACATAAACAGAAGGATTGGAAATCTCTACTTACTTTTCTCTTTTATCAACAATGTTTTGCCAGTCCCAGACAGGATTCAAACATTCTAAATAATTTTTATTAACCCTCCCCGATTTGTTTTATTGGTACACCTGATGGATGATACTCTTTTAAGGATACTACTGCCAGAAAAGGTGTCTTTATGGCCCAAGTATTGCTGATGGACTAGAAAAAGGAAAGTTTTCATAAACTATCAGCAGCATCTCCCTCCTTGTGCTAATGGTATAGAGCACTTCAGTGTTGGTGTTAAAGGATAATGAGTGGTGCTTTTACATTATAGCACTGGATTATGCACGGTGATGCTGACTTCCTAGGGCCTAGTTCCAGGTGCAGAATTCACAGACAAATTTGCACCATACATTTATTCACTTAAAAATTGTCAATACAACTTACACAGCATTCTGAAAAGATCATGGAACTTTTGGGTTTTTTTGAACCAGTGTTAGGAAAGGCCATCAAAGGGAAGTAGGAAGACTATTGATTTTCCAGTAGTCACGAGGTGCAAGAGCCCTGCATGAGTATCATTTAATCACACACAGGCATCCTGTTTAAGTAAAACTACTGTCCTAGTTAGGTAGAAATGCATAGTTTGTTATTGCTATACTGTGTTGTTTTTCTGGGATGTGCTAAAACTCTGTAGTTGTCTGCATTTTTTTTTCCTAACGTTCTCTGAGTTGTTATGATTTGTGTACTTACAAGATACTTGGAAGAGTATGCCCCACATTCTTACACGTAGTGTTTGGAAAAACAATATATTTTGTCAGATAAGTCTGAACTAGAGTTGAAATGTTGTCCAATACAGTAAACAGACCAGTGAACTGACATATAGACCTACTTTTGTCTGTGTTTCTGTATTAATTATGGAAATCCCTAGCTTGTGTTTTGCATTTTGATTTTGGTTAAGTCTTCCCTCAGTATAAACCCAAAAGTACAAATATCATTTTTTTTCTTACCAACCAGACCAATGGCAAATTTAGTTCCCAAGTACCAAAGGAATTCCAAGATTTATCAAAAGAAAGGATTTGGGAGAAATTGCTGTGCTGACTTCTTGCTTTAAAGATGGTTTTACAGAATGCATCATCCCCTCTAAAGAGAAGTGTGAGGCAGTAGTAAAAAATGGAGCTTGGAAGGGCTTGCGTCTTTTAAAAAAGATGTGTGTAACATCAGGATATGAGAATGACCATGGAAAATAAGACTTGTTTTCCTTTTCTGACAGTCCAGTTGGTACATGGAACGTATCATAAGATTTACTGGCTGAACTACAATGGTTTTGGTAGCTTAAAATAACAGCAGACAGCTTTGCTTAAACCACAGCCTTTTTTGAACATGTGTAAAATATCTGTCCAGTTTCTTTAATACAGGAGAAATAGTAATAAAATGATCACTGCATAAAAGTTTTGACACACAAGTTGTGAAGTTGGGGTTACAGTTTCTACTTCTCGTTAGTCTGTTTCACCGGTGCAGAAACATTAAATAGTTTGTTACTGTTGACATAAGGTAATTTAGGAAATTTTGATTTACTGTGAGACCCAAATGAGGTATTTTCATGGGTGGATTTACAGGAAATTATTTTGGGAACTGAAGCCTCCAAAGTAGAACTCAGGCAGATGATTTGGGTCTGTTAGCAATGAAGACTATGCTCTGCAAGACCACAGGTTACCCCTAGTCCTAGTTGCATTATTCAGGTTAACCAGTTATTTACAAAAACTGGTAATAAACATAGATTTTGTTCACCCTGCAAAGTTACTCTTGTATTTCTGAACACACTAAAAATTAGTAAATTTGAATCTCTAATGTTACTGTTAAATCAGCCAAGGCAGTTTTCTAGCAAACCAAAAGTTTAAGAAAAAAAGATAGGTTTTTCAAAACATTTAATGTTGTGCTGCTATCTCCTCTGAACTTTCATACCTGATCTCCACTATCACAAGGTGAAAGAGGAAGCTGAAGTATATTCAATACTTCATCTAGATCTCCAGGGCTTTAAAGGTAGGTTCATATCTGCAGGATTTATAAATACAACAAATCCAAAATTATGATGTGTGGTCAGTTGTTCTAGCTTTTTTTTTTTCCTAGGTGGGGTGGTTTTTGGAATTTGGGGTTTTTTTGCCTCTGCTGCCTTTTCAGTACTGCATATATGACAAAAGCTGAGGAAAACCAGCAGTCTGTACTTCTAAATTCAATGCCTAAAACCTTGTCCACCACAAAATTCACTTTCCTGCTTGAAGGCTTTGCAATACATGAGTTTCTTGTGGGAGAGAGGATGAAGGGGAAGAGGAGACAAGGCAAACAAGAAACAGATGTTACAACGCCATCCTTTACAATGACTTTGGAACACGTGGTAAAGCCAGGTGTTGCTGTTTGAGCTAAAAGCTTTCAGCCCAAGTATATCTGACAGATGTCCAACTGCTGGCCTGTCCATCACAGAGCAGGTATACCCCTGGGCATAAAGCAGGAATGTGGTTATATACTCAAGGAAGACCTTCCTACCTGTCATGATGGAGATGGTTATCCTCCCTTCAAGGATGGTATCCAGTAGCACACCCAAGTAGAGCAACACTGGTAGCATTGGTAGAGTGCAGCATCAATGGAGGATCACCAATTTCAGTGCCTACAGCCACCTGCAGAGAGCTGGCCTGGGTGTCTCTGGTGCTACACTGTGCTTTGTACACACTCCTGGAGCTGTGCCGTGGAGGTCTTCTGAGAGGCATTTCAGTTTATGTACCCCTCCTGACAATGGGTGGATATCAAAATGGGGTACATGATACTTGTAAGAATTGTGTTCTCTACAGGTACTACATAATTACAGATGTGTATCTATGTGAGTATTCAAAATGTCTTACAGGATTTTTTTGGGGAGGGATACTGTTTATTAGTTTAGGTAGTGCAAAAATTTGGGGTTTAAGCTGAGTTTAAGCTCCCAACGCTTGAACTATTGTCCGCAGCACTCACTGCCCCTCAGAACTGCATGTCCATTAAATTGCGCTCATCTGGTGTAGACAACCATACACCTAACAAAGAGTTTAACAGAGACTGCCAACTGGCTGTACTTCCAGAAAGCTTGCAGGATGTCTGAGTGGGGTTACTTCCTCCTCCCTGAAAAAGTGGGAGTATGGAATACTTCCCATCAAGAATAGGCTGGTGTATGCAGAGGCTGGTGGTGCCATGAGACATTAATGAATTACGGAAAAGGAAGCAATGGTTGAAGATAAATTAAATATACACAAGAGTGAAGACTGAGCCAGTTGGTTCTGTGACAAGGGATGCTTACAAATGCAGCTTATTTCATGGTTTTATTCCTGAGTTTACAAAGTCATTACCATAAATTAAAAATATGTGGATGCAAGTCCTGCATAAAGTCACTTCAGCAATGTAGATGAATTTCACATGTTCAGAGACCCTTCTTTGCCTGCAGGATAGCCGGTTTTATTGATTTTTTTCTTATGTTGTCATGACATGGCAGATTATTTTCCTGCTTGTGGTGTATATTTTATCATGGATTGGGACAGGCAATCTTAGCAGAGGTAGAGACTCCACAGTTTAAGCTCATAAATGGAAAGCTGGGGTGGACGTACAAAATGTTGACCAATAAAACAGAAGTTGAACTCTTCTTTCTAGAATATTGTGCCTCAAAGTTTCATATACGTGCTGAGGGTAATATACACATGTACAGGCCAAACAGGTATCTGTCATTCACAAATCATGGTCTGTGCATGGCCTGTTAAATTCACTTCCACAAGTAGCAACCATTTAAGCAGTTTCAAGTACATTGAAATACGCGGAGACCACTATTTGTACTTCTTTGTTCTTAAATAAGTAACAGAATTACTTATTTAAATACTTGACAAAGAAAGCTGCTAAATTGCTTCTATAAGGATGAATTCTTACTTGACCAGGCTCCCCAGAGTGCCATTAGAAGGATCACGATGATCACTGTGTAAAGGGTATGGACCGTAACAAGATCATCTTGCTGGTGCTTGAACCCAGAGGTGCTGTGCCAGTTCTCACTTCTGTTCCCGTTGGTTTTCTGCCTGTGAGCACGGAGAGAATGTATCCTGATATAAAAGAAAGCAAGATTGAGATTAAAAATTATTCTTTTTTATTAACAGTTCAACAGTGTTTGTAATGAAATCCAGAGTGTGCATTGTATTGTTGACTAGATTTGGGAAAGAGCTCTTCAAATTGTATGAGGCTAATAAAATAATTTCCATAATTGGAAATGCAAAACATTTACCAGCCATTTGGTATTTCTCTCCCACTGACAGGCAGAGACTGGGTAGGGGCTTGTTAGAGGACACACAGTGCTCTTACTCTTCACTGTTGATGCAGATCATTGTATGAGAAAAAACATACCCTTTCATTTTGCAATATTATGAAAGTGGCAGGATTCAAATAAAAAATTACCAGTTTCCAAAGCTTTCATCCACGGCAATAAGCACAGCATGTGCTATGTGAGCTTCCCATCCTGCTCTGATGTGTTTTTCTATCTCTGCTTTTCAGAGGGGACTTCTCTCTGCAGTGTCAAGGTATTCATTAGCCAAAGATACCAATCAGGAGTAACTAAGCATATCCGCAGGATTCTCTGGAGTAACATTTGACATTTCTTTGCCACCTTTCCCAAATGGTTTGAAGCTAGAAGTGTTAGCCTGTGGCAACAGACCTCCAGTTATTGTTATCTCCACTGAAAATTGCCTGTTAAGCCCCACTGCTAAGTCCTTGTTCCTGCTGCCTTTCTTTCTTTTTTTTTTAAGAGAAAAAAAGGCTTAATATTCACAACTCCATCTGAACTGGAATGCTAAAAGGAGATGAATTAGTTTGTGATCCTATAGCTTAGGGAGGGGTCTGAGAAGTATTAGATGTATTACAGCTCTGGTTCATGCATGTTCCTGCTGTTATTACTGCAGAAGAGTAGGGGTTACCACAAATGTTAGTGCAGATACAGTTTATGAATAAAAAAGAACTTTAAACCAGAAATTACATACTTATGCATGCTTGGAAGAGAGCTGTCAAAGCTGATTTGTTAAAAATAAAAGACTAGGAAATGCAAAAGGGAATTCATCAATAAAATAGAAGTTCTGCAGTTGAGATTTTACATAAAGTAACTGCAGAATTAGAAATAGACATTTAACACTTGTATGAGAACAATTTGGCTTGTATAGCTGCAAATCATATAACACAGCTCACGATCATCTGGAGCATCATGTGAAGATCATGAGAGGAATAATTTGCCAGTCATTTCCTTTTCTGTTCCTACCTGAGGGGAATGCAGTATGTGCAGCTTACCTCCTGCAGGCGTTCATGGTGCCTTGATGATTGGGTTCACACTGCGTCAGATTTCTTCTTGCAGAGAGGAAAAAAGCCTTTTTTATCCTCTTATTGCCTTGCACAAAAGGGGAAAATTTTCACTCAGTACAGACAAAAAGAATCTTCCTTCCAAGCCCACGAACTTGACCAACAATAATCTGGGAGCACTTGATATGTGTCAATGAAAGATCTCAAATTAATGGTTTCTAGAGCTGATTTTGACATAGTTCTTCAAGAAATTCCCTTGAGCAGTTCACAAGGCAAGTAGTGAGTCATCCCAATGACTGGCTTCTTTTAGCTGCTGGGATCTCTTCTTATAAACAGTAGCTCACTGCTGAGGTGTGGCCAAATTTATAACACCACAAGTAAGGCACAGATGGAGGGTGCTGCTGCTGGAAATTATTTTCTATTAGATCACAGGCTGTTTTGGGGTAAAACTTAGTTCCTTTCTACAACTGCAATTTGGTTTAACTTGGCTGGAGTGAAATTTCAAGCCACTCTCACTTACATATGCTCTAATATTCAAACACTTTTATGAAAAAGTAGGTGCCTTCTTTATAAACTATTGACTTACGATCACATTCAATAAGCAGTCAATAAGCAATATATTAGCACAAAAAAACCCATTTTGACATTTAGGGTTATTAAGAATCATATACATCCTATTATTACCTGACCACCTAAAGCCATTAATTAACAAGAGGCTGTGCCCAATAGCTGGGTGTGGCATGATCAGACGGGTTAATGGTGGTCTTAAATCCAATGGTCCCGTAATTATATGCAGGGCTTGTGAACAAACACACTTCAATTTGTACTTTGTGAAGACAGGCCAAAGTCCTTCTTTCTCAAAACACTTTTTTACATCATCTTTAAACTATCAAAAAAATTTAAAATAACCACATTTCTCTTTTAAATTTTACTTTCAGCTTATTGTCACATAGAATTGCTATTAAGATAAATCAGAAATTGTAGTTCTGGTGCATTTCCAAAGGCTTTTGCCTTTCCTTCATGTAGCATTTATGTTTCTATATGAATAAAACTAGTTCCTTTAGTTTTATTAAAACAATTAGCAATTTCCAAACATGTCTTGGGAAATCACTTTACACTCCAGAAAATTAAGACTGAGTTTGTTCACCCATGTGAGCAAAACTGTGGCACTTGAACCAGTGGAGCTACTGAGGACATAGAATCATTCTAAATTATTAGTTGTATAATAAATACAGAAAAATATAAATATTACAATGACTTGGAGGAAGAAGTTTGGACATCAGTAAAGAATTACTGACTTGAATCAGTTCTAGCTTTTTCAGACCCAATTCTGAGAATATAGGCAGTTATAACTTTTGGATTCTGTTTTCTTAAGTAACATATACAGGGTGGTAGATGCACTGAGTTTTCCCTGTATGTATTTAGTTTTCTTGATACATTTGTCTTACTTCAGTCTTAAGATCAGTAGCACTTACAACATATTTGCCCTTTTCCCCATCAGTTTCATCTTGGTTTTCTAGATCTTACTGATGGCTTTCACTTTTTGACTGAAGCAAGCAAAGGGAGGTATGTACAAGCCTCATTTCAGAAGTGTGAGAGTGTTGATTTTTGAGGGCGCGGGCCGGGCGGCCGTTGGGGAGCCCCTGCCAACTACAGG